GAGGAAAGCCACTGATGACTAACGTTCGCTTGCTCTCCCTTACGTGTCCTCAGCTACAGGGACCAAAAAGCAAAACCAACCCATTTCCCACCCTTCCCAGCAGTCAGGGGTGGCCATAGAAATCCATCCTGCCCCCGAGAGGTAGGCGGAAGTGCATGGGGCGGATGCTTCCTGTTTCTTTTTGCTGGTTCAACTGCTCAAGACACCCCGAAGTACACTGGCCACCTCGAAACCACAAAGATGAAAGGCTCGCACCATGGCTGAGAAGGAGCCTGGTTTACTGAGGATTTCCCTGCACAGCTACACCAGCCAGAGACCCCTTTTTATACTGGGAAATATACCTCCCCACCCATTGCTTAGCTGCCGTTTGTTGGGCAACATTACTTGTTGCCAAACGCACTCCCGTGCCTGGATTATCCATGTCAGTAAGGGATGTCCGTTGGAGCTGAATGAAGAAAGACCTGTGGGGAAGGGCAGGGCCTTTCTTAGGAGGGACAGGGATGTCCGAGGAGACCCGAACAGCCAAACCACCTGAAAGCCAAGCAGTGTACTTTCCTGTCTTCAACTTTGAATAGCTTTGTGCTGGTTATTGCTGCCATCTAGTGGCCATATTTTAGAATTAAAACTCTCTTTTGGGCCATGAACTGTTTTTCCTTCAAGTCTTCTTTCGTTCCATCATTCTTTCATTTGTTCATTCATACAGTCCTTCTACAAACATTTTATGAAGACCTGCGATGTGTGGCAGGTCCTCATGAATACAATAAGAAAATATAATAACGAGAGGGAAAATCCAGCTCCTTGCCTCTTGAAATTTACACACTTGGGGGAAGACAGCCATGAATTGGATTTTTTTAAAAAAAAAAATATGACTGGAAAGTGCTATAAGAGAAGAACATGGTGTTATGAGAATCGCTGACAGGGATTTGACTTGTTGGGGAGAGGGGAGGAGGTCAGAGAAAGCTTTCCTGAGGAGGTTCTGGCTGCCCCGAGGTCTGAAGGACAAGCTGGAACAGCCAGGGCAAGAAGGCAGTTTTCTGGGCAGTCATGAAGTGAGCTGCAAGGAAGGGAATAAAAGAAGGCCACGTGTTTAGAAGGGTACTGGGTATGAGGCATTCTAATTTCTAAACTGAGGCTGTGGTTGTGAGTTATAGTGAACATACAATTGTTTTACCTGAGCACGAGCTAAGAAGACATCAGCTAATAAACATCTACAGATCACTCTGCCCAACAGCAGCAGAATATACGTTCTTCTCAAGTGCGCATGGACTATTCTCCAGGACAGACTGTGTGCTAGGCCGTAAGATAAGCCTTAATAAATTTAAAAGGATTGAAATCATTAAAATATGTTCTCAGATCACAGTGGAATGAAATTAAGACTAAGTAACAGAAGTAAATTTGGAGATGTCCAGGTATGTGAAAATTCAACAATACATTCCTAAAGGAACAATGAGTCAAAGAAGAAAAGATACAGACAGCCTGACTCTTCATGCATGAGCAGGGGAAAGATTGCCCCCTGTCAGCAGTGGGGCAACATAAAGATGCTTCTGGTTACAGCACGTAAGTTTTGGGTATTAATTTCACCATTTACATTTAAAATGCTACAAATCAACATGTAAAAAGACAGACGTCCCCATATAAAAATAATTCATATTGGGCTTTTGTTTCCGAACATAAAAAAGATTGAGTAAGACCATCTAGCAATAAATTAAGGTGCGAACATTTCATATAAACATTTTATCAAACCTTGTGATTTTTTCTCAAGTTTTTATAAATTTAAATATTATGAAGCCACAAGCTCTAGGTATTATAATACGAATTATTCAAAGCTAATATACAATAATGCAACATTCCATTTTGCCATAAGAAAATATGTAACACTTTATATAATAAAACAATGCCTATGGAAAAATTATTTATAAATGTCAACTTTAAATAAAGAGATTCAGGGAATATGGTTAAATGTAGAGTTTATTTGAGTATAAAGTTTGAAAACAGCCACCGGGAACACAGATTCCAAAGAATGGAAGTCAGTGTTCACAAGTGGAAATGTTTTGGGGGCTTATAGAGATAAGGTTTGAGAAGCTTAACAGGGTTTTAACACTTCCACACAAGGCTAGCACTTAATTACAGTAATCTGGTTAGTCAAGGTAGTGTTCTTTTCAGGAGAGGTATATTCAACATACCACATTGAGGATGTAACAGTCATGGAGTCTTTTGCGCCATCCATTCTGAGTTAGGTGTGAGATAATGAAGGAGGAAAGGACAAAAATCTGGAGCGGAGGAGGTCTCCGGCACCATTTAATCTTTCTTAATCAATTTACAGAACAAGAACAACGAGAAAGAGAATTAATCTATACTCTGAGATGCAGAAGCTGCAGCCACATTTCCTTCAAAGCTCATTTTCAGGGTTCCAACAAATGATTAAGTTTGAATTATTTATTTTTACACTCTCTTGTTTTTTGCTTGAAATACATTAACATAAAACAAAAGTATCCAAATAATAGTATGTTACTAGTGAAATAAACAAAGGCAGGAAGCTCACTCAGGATGCTCTGAGAAAATTTGGAGACTACGTCTAAGGCAGTGTCTCTAGCATAGAAGGGGGTCGCCTGGGGAACTAAGTAGCAAGTAACGCCTGTTAAAAGTGGAGATGGATTGGTTGTGAGTGCTGAGGACAAGGGAGAGGCAAAAGTCAAAGCAAAGTCCCAGGTTTGTGCCATGAGCAACTAGAAGACTGGCAGGGGCATTTCATGAGCTAAAGAAGAGTGAAGAGAACAAAAATGGAGCTCAATTTTGGAAGCGCTGAGTTTGAGGTATCTGGGAACACCAGAGAGGCAGGAAATGGTAGACAGGTAGGAAGAATGGTACACCTGTATGAAGCAATATTCACTGAGGTGATGAAAAGCAACAGAATGTGTCCTTCAAAATGCAAGAGAGGGGTGACTTCATCTCTTCTCCACACTCACAAAGCACTTCCAGTTGCAACTACAATAGCACTTAACCCATGGCATTAAAGTTATTTGTGGGTGTATCTACAACTCAAAATTCAGTTCTGTGAAGGCAAAAACTGAATTTTACTCAATTCTATTTGGTTTAATGAGCTTAGTACTGGGTAGGGAGGGGAAGTTGGGGAGGATTGGCAAATGGTGATTAAAAAATTCATTAGGATATGGGCATGGCAGCATCGTCCTTGTAGTCCCAGCTACTCAGGAGCCTGAGGTGCAGGGATCACTTGATCCCGGGAGTTCAATACCAGCCTGGGCAACACAGCAAGATGCTGTCTCTACAAAAAATTTAAAAATTAGCTGAAGCAGGAGGATTGCTTGATCCCAGGAGTTGAAGGCTGCAGTGAGCTATGATTGGGCCAGTGCAGTCCAGCCTGAGTGACAGAGCAAGACCTCAACTTTAAAAGAGAAAGAGAGAGAGAGAGAGAGAGAGAGAGAGAGAGAGAGAGAGAGAGAGAGATATGTTTTTGAAAATGACAAATGGCAGCATGTTTATATACTGATGAGAATGACCCAGGAGACACAGCAAGGGATGGGGGTAGAGGGAGAGGAAAATTGAAAGTGTAGGTAATAGAGAGGATTACCAAAAAATCTAATTCCTGAAGGAACTGTGGGGAACAGTATAGGACATGCCTCAGAGTTATTCCAACTAAGGTGTGTGGAAGCTGGGATATTTATTCACCGACTCCATTAGTCATTAGTTGAGGGATACTCTCGGGAGACACAGGAATGGGCATTAATTCTCCAGCATTTCTAGTCTGCCCTGCACATGGGCTAAGCCAATTCTGGTGACCAGAGAAAGCCACAAGGCAAAAATTCCTAAGTGCTCACCATTAGAAGCCATTGCATTGGCCTATATGATAGTGGTGAGTCTCAAGGGTATATGAGTGACCTATCAGGCCTTCAATACTAGGTGTGCTGATGTTTTCGCCATGGAATCTGAGTTTTAAATGTAAAGATGAGACTGAAAAACAACAATAAAAACTCAGACCGATACTGAAAATAGGTGTCAAGAAACAAGAGTTTTAGTCAGAGCCTTCCTTGCATTTCCCTTATATTGACCTGAAAACAATAATTGGGAACTTCAATTAATGTTAACATTTCTGGGTCTCAATATCCTAATCTATAGAATGGTGGGAGGTAAGTAGAAGGGATAGGGCTTGTTAAAGGTCTTATTTTCAATTATTTGAATTTATCTGTAGCGAATTCCTCTTTGTTTTCTTTAGACATCAAAGCATTTCAACAGGTATTTAGTATCTGCCACCTAACCAACTCAATTTGTTACTCTATATATTTTTTAGTATCTACTCTTTAGTCATTGTCCAAAAACACTTTATAGATAGTATCTCTAATCACGATAGCAATCCTCTGAAGAAGACGAAGGTAATTCACATTTTATAAGTGAAAATTCCACTTTTGAAAGGTGGTATGATTTACTTGTTCAGATCCTTATTTTCAAGCACTTGTTTCTTGGACCTCAGGACAATGAAATGGTGATGGTATCCTTGCAAGAAAAAAGAATGAAGAAGTTATACCTGACTCTTCACTTTGAGCAAATAAGGTGACCTAAGAGTAGCATTAGGCTACGGGAAGCCTTTCTCCAAATTCAAACCATCCTTTTATGTTCATTTCTCTCTTTGGATTCATGCATTTCCTTCTTTGGATTCAGGAGCAGCACTGAAGAAACTACAAGCCTCTCTCCAAATTCAGACCATCATTTATGTTCACTTGTTTCTTTGGATTCATGTGCAGCATAGAAGAAATTCAGTTTTGGAGGATACCGACTAAATTGAAGTCTTTTAGCCCATAGAATTCCTTGTTGTCGTTAATTTCTCCAAGGCTGAAGAAAGTAATGGTCGACCACAATAAAGATGGCGGCAGCGGCTTCACCATGGCAACGGCGACGCCATTCGCCAACAATTGCATCAATACGTTACGTTCCGGCCTGTTAGTTTGGCGTCACTTCCGGCGCTGTCCCTGGCGTGCAGCCGTGAGTGTACTAAGCACTGTGAACTGACTCCAAGGAGTAGTAGTCTTGCCGAGGGAATCGGAGAGCATGTGGACGCTCGCGACATGGAGATAGAAAGTGGGAAGTCCGTGCCTGTTGTCGCAGTTGTGACTGAACCTCGGTTTACTCAGCGATATAGGGAATATCTGGAGAAGCAGAAACTCTTGGATAGACAGCACCGTGTGCAAAAGATGCCAGATGGCACCGTGGCGCTACCGGTGCTGGGAGAGACCCTCCCCGAGCAGCACCTGCGGGAGCTGAGCAGTCGCGTGGCCCCAGGCAGCACCTGTGTGCTGACCCAGCTCCTGGATCCTGTTCCTTCAAAGAAGGTCCAGGGTTTTTCACCTGCCCAAAGATTGTGCCTTGAGGTGAGTCGCTGGGTAGAGGGTCGGGGAGTCAAGTGGTCCGCTGAGTTGGAGGCTGATTTGCCCCGATCTTGGCAACGGCATGGGGACCTCTTGTTGCTGAGTGAAGACTGTTTTCAAGACAAGCAATGGAAAAGTCTGGAACCAGAACTCTGGGAGACTGTTTCCTCCGCACTTGGTGTCCAGCGTTTGGCAAAACGAGGGCGGGTATCACGGGATGGCGCTCGAACTCCAGCAGTGACTCTGCTGCTGGGCGACCATGGCTGGGTAGAGCATGTGGATAATGGTATCCGATATAAGTTTGACGTGACCCAGTGTATGTTCTCCTTCGGAAACATCACGGAGAAGCTGCGAGTGGCATCACTGTCCTGTGCTGGAGAAGTGCTAGTGGATCTCTATGCAGGGATTGGTTATTTCACATTACCCTTCCTAGTTCATGCTGGTGCTGCCTTCCTTCATGCCTGTGAGTGGAACCCCCATGCTGTAGCTGCTCTGAGAAATAACCTTGAGATCAATGGAGTAGCAGATCGGTGCCAAATTCATTTTGGGGATAACAGGAAACTGAAGCTCTCAAATGTTGCAGATAGGGTTAACCTGGGGCTGATTCCCAGCTCTGAAGAAGGCTGGCCCATTGCCTGCCAAGTGCTACGACAGGATGCTGGGGGTATTCTGCATATCCACCAAAATGTGGAATCTTTCCCAGGGAAGAATCTCCAGCCTCCTGGAAGCAGCAAAACAGAGAAAGAGCATTGGCCTTACCCTCAGCAAGTTATTACCAACCAGTGCAAAAATGGAGATACCAGGGATTCCAGGAGAAAAATGCTGTCACCAGCCACCAAGCCAGAGTGGCAAAGGTGGGCAGAATCTGCAGAAACTCGAATTGCCTATCTTCTTCAGCAGGTGCATGGGAAACCATGGAAGACACGAATCCTGCACATCCAACCAGTGAAATCCTATGCTCCCCATGTGGATCACATAGTCCTGGATCTGGAATGCCGCCCCTGTCCTTCAGTAGGTTAGAGGAGGTGGATCCTGGGACACAAGGGATTCATGTGTGAGTGGCCCTTAATGCATCAGCTTAAGGCTGAGTTCCCACCTCTTGTCTCCCGGTTATCTATTTTAATATTTTGTTGCCCTGAAAGCAAGCTCTAGACCAGTCCAAATCATTTCATTTTTCTTCCAGTGATCACACTGAAAATGAGCTACATATCTGGGAGAAGCAGCATGGCCCATTAAAATGAGGCTCATCTGTGCAATTATGAATTCCAAATTCTGACCTCAGTTCTGATCTTGCATACGAGGTTTCAATATTCTTTGGCCTTGGATTTCCTTATTTGCAAAATGAAGGTTTCCTTGAACTGTCTCACATGGGTATTGTCTAATAAGCAGTTGTACACAGGGCATTGGTTATTTTAGAGTGAAAGACACAATACTGTTTCCAAAATCACTCCTGCTACCATATGGAAAATCAACTGGAGGAGGGCCAACATGGAAACAGGGAGATTGGTGAGGAGGATTCTGTGGCTGTCCAGGTGTGAGGTGATGTTGGCTTGGATTAGGGTGGTGGCAGTGGGAGGTGGATGGATTTGAGAAATAAAATCAACAGGACCAAGCAATAGAAACCAAATCAAGTCATTAATATGATGCTGCTTTGTATTATGACTGACTAAATTAGGGAGAGAAAGGGACAAAAATTACTCAGGTGTAATAACTCTATTCTACTTTAGTATTCCTAAATGAGTATGGGGGGATATCTTATATATTCGGTTTATTGTGGTAGAAAAAGGGTTGAGAGTCGCTGCTCTAAATCATAGGGAATCTAGATCGTTGAACTCCTACTTTAAATCTGTATATCAGGGCCCTGAGTGTGCAGTGGTGAAAGATTGACATGGGCTCTGCCTTCATAAATTTAGGTTACGTTCATTCAACGCCTGGCTCCTTTACTTTCTGTGTGACCCCAGGCAAGTTATGAATCTCTCAAGATTAATTTCTTCATCTCTACGTTGGGATTAACAATTGTACGTGCCCTGTAGGGTAGTTGTTAGGTTCAAATGAGTTAACAAAGCCCCAGGGAGGGCTCTGACTCTGGACATGCAGCAGCCATCTCTCCAGGCATGCTAACACTGGCAAAGCAGAGTGGTAGAACTCTGACTTCTTAAGGAGATCCTTGATCAACTACACCAGCCCTGAAATATCTATCTCTGAACTTGTCATATGAAAAAAAAAAAAACCTGCAACCCGTGCTTCCCCACTCCAAAAAAAAAAAGTATTTAAGTCACTGGGGATTTTTTTTTTTTATTTACAAGCAAGAAATATTTCTACCTGATATTCTGCATAGTGGATTAACCAGATAAATTAGACATATACGATAGAGGTGGATAAATAAAAACAGTAGCAGAGTGGGAATGCTCACAGAGCTCTCACCACCCAAAATAGAACATTTTGAAATCAGTTCTTTTTCAGATGTTTCAACTGTTGTTAATGCTGCCATCTAGTGAAGATACTGTGGAAATAAAAACTCATTCAGCCTTGAACTATTTTATCCATGACTCCAATGTCTGTCTTTATACTTTTCCTTTTCTTTTCCTCTCCCTCTCTTTTTTCCATTTCATAAATGTTTTGGGGCCCAAACAATATGCCAGACACTGTGGTAAACACTGGTAATAAAATAGCAAACAAAACCAGACCCAATCCCAGACTCTATGGACCTTATACTCTAACGAGGGGCATAGACATTAAATAATCACATACCACATATAACATTTCATATAACAATTCACATTCTAGTAAATTCTGGGAGGAGAGGTTCTTGGTGCAGTAGGAACTTATGACAGGGGTTGACCTGCTCAGGAAGGTCAGGGAAGTCTTCCCTGAGGATGTGATGACTCAGCTGAGAGCTGAAGGGTGAGTAGGAATTAATAAGTGACGAAAACAGGGGACAGCTTTCCAGGCTGCGAGGACAGTGTGTGCAAGTGCCTGTGGAGGAGTTTGAGGGGTTAAAATCCAGGGTGGATAGCGAGGAAAAAGTAAGGGACGAAAGTGTCAATCAGGCTGTGGAGTTTGATGGTCCAACCACGCAGGGGGCAGTATAGGCTATGTTAAGAACATTATCACAACAGCAATGAGATGTCTTTGAAGTATCTAAGCAAAAGTGTGTCATGGTTAAATATGTGGGGTTTTATAAATTCACATTTTATCAAAATCCTAGTATTCTAAAACATTTTAAAATACACTCTCAGCTGGGTGTGGTAGATCACACTTGTAATCCCAACACCTTGGGAGGCTGAGGCAGGAGGATCACTTAAGCCTAGGAGTTTGAGACCAGCCTGGGCAACACAGCAAGACCCCATGTCTAAAAAAAAAATTAGCTGGGCATGGTTGTGCATGCCTATAGTCCTAGCTACTTGGGAGACAAAGGGAGGAGGATTGCTTGAGCCCGGGAGCTGGAGGTTGCAGTGAAGTGTGATTACAGCAGTGCATTCCTGTCTGGGTGACAGAGCAAGCCCGTCTCTAAAAAAATATATACTCTCAACACACATACATACCCCTAGTATTCCTTTCCCTTAATCTAATTTCCAGCAACTATGGTAACATGGGATTGTACAAGGAGTTAGCCTTGTACACATAGTTCATAGTCAAGAATTTTTATTTGTTTATGGGAGAAATAATGTCTCATAAAATGAGTGGATTCACTTGGGATATATTCCTTTTTTCATTTTCTGGAGTTTTTGTAGAATTGTTACTACTTCCTACTAATGTTTGTTAGAATTTTGCAGTGAAGCAATCTGGGCCTGGATTTTTCTTTGTGGAAAGATTTGTAGCTACAAATTTAATTTCTTTAAAAGATGTAGGGTCATTCAGGGTATCTTGCAGCTTTGATAGTTTGCATCTTCAAGGAATTTTTTCATCTAATATGCCAAATGTATTGATGTAAAGTGGTTCATAATGTTTCCTTGTACCATTTTTTTCTTTTTTTCTTTTCAGTAGCCAGCTACTAATCCTTGTACTTTTAATAATTATAGAATGTAGTGCTACCAGCTCTCTCATTACTGATACTGCTAATTTGTGTATCCCTCTGCCTTCTTCCCTCCCTCTCTCTCTCTCTCGCCTGATCAGTCTGGCTAGAGGTTTATTAAACTTATTTATCTTCTCAAGAACTAGCTTTTGGTTTCATTAATTTCCTCTATTGTGTTTCAACTTTTAATTTCTGCTTTGATATGTTTTTTTCTACTTACTTTGGCCTTCATTTGCTGTTCTTTTTCTAGTTCTATGAGGAGAGAACTGAGGTCCCTAATTAGCCCTTAGTAGGTATGTGGTATAAATTTCTCTTTACTATCTTAGCCTAATCCCACAAAATTTTATATCTTGTGTTTTCATTTTTATTCAGTTAAAATTATATCCTAATTTCCCTTTTGGTGTCTTTTTTTGACCTGCTAGTTATTTAGAAGTATGTTAATTTCCAAATAGTTGAAGATTTTCTAGATATCTTTGTTATCAATTTCTAGTTTAATTCTATTGTGGTCAGAGAACATACTTTGTATGACTTGCATCCTTTCAAATTTATTAAAATTTGTTTTATAGGCTAGAATACGGAAAATCTTTGGCCACTAGCTCTTCAAATAATTTAATTCTTTTAAATAATTTTTTTGCTCCCCAGAGTTCTTCAAGCACTCCAATTATAGACATAATACTTGGCTACTTAAAGTCACCTCACCCTTTGCTGATGTTCTATTTATTTTGGTTAGAGTGTATGTGTTTTGGTTTTTTGTCTTTTTTCTATTTCCTTTTAGAGAGTTTCTATTGATATGTCTTCAAGGTCACTAATCTTTCCTTCTGCAGTGTCTAATCTGCCATTAATCTTATCCAATGTACTTTTCATCTCAAATATTGAAATTTTAACCTCCATAAGTTTTATATAGGTTTGTTTATTCATTCATTCATTCAGGGTCTCACTCTATAGACCAGGCTGGAGTGCAGTGGCATGATCATAGGTCACTGCAGCCTCGAACTCCAAGGCTCAAATGATCCTGCCTCAGACTCCTGAGTAGCTAGGACTACAGATTCGTGCCACCCCTTCTGGCTAATTTTCATTTTTTAATTTTTTGTAGAGACGGGGTCTCGCTTATGTGGCCCAGGCTGGTCTCAAATTCCTAGCCTCAAGCAATCCTCCCACCTCAGCCTCCCAAAGTGCTGGGATTACAGGAGTAAGCCACCATGCTTGGCATATATGGGTCTTTTTATATCTTTTCTGTAACATCTTCAATCTTTCCTCTCATTTCTTGAACATGTGAAATACAGTTATAACAACTGTTTTAATATCCCTGTCTACTAATCTCATCATTTGCATAATTTCTGGATCAGTTTTAATAAAATGTTTACTTTTCATTATGGGTTTTATTTTCCTGTTTATTTGCATGCCTGGCAATTTCTGATTGAATACCAGCCATTGTGAATTTTACCTTGTAGGTTATTTTCATATCCCTAAAAACATTTTGAGCTTTGTTTGGACACAGTTTTTGGTCTTGTTTTTAAGCTTTGTCAGGTTATACCTGAGCATTTAGTCGAGGATTAATTTTTCCCACTATTGAAGCAAGACCTTTCGTAGTACTCTGGGTCTAACTGATGCCTCATGAATTATGAGCTTTTCCACTCTTGCTGGTGGGAACAGGAATCCTCCACCACCCTGTGTGAGCTCTGAGTATTGTTTCCTCTAATCCTTTCCAATTGTTCTTTTCCTGGCCTTTGGTAATTTCCTCTCATGCGTGTATTGATCATTGCTTAGCTGAATACTTTAGGAATGGTCAGCAGATCTCCAGAGTTCTGTTTAACTCTCCTTTCTAGGATTCTACCCTGTGAACTCTAGTTGCCTTGGGCTCCCAGGACTCCCAGTTCCATCTCTTCACCTCAGGGAATGTGCTGGGTTCCACCTGGGTTCCCTCTCTCCATAACACAGCCTGGAAACTTTCTCCAGGCAGTAAGCTGGAGCAATTATGTGGCTCACCTTGTTTGTTTTTGGTCTGTTATGGGTCACTGTCCTTCACTGCCTATATCCAATGCCTTGAGGGCCATTGTTTCATATATTTTGTCCATTTTTAAAAAGTATTTAGAAGTTCCTGTGAGGGATGAAAAATTAACTATTGGGTACAATGTACACTCTTTGAGTGATGGGTACACTAAAAGCCCAGACTTCACCACTGTACAATTCATCCATGTAACAAAAACCATTTGTACCCCCTAAATCTATTGATATTTTTTAAAAAACATTTATAAGTTCCTGAGACTTGGCAGAGCTTGAAAAAAAAGGACTTAGTTTACACATAATTTTACTAGCTTTCACAATCATTATTGAAGAAATTCACTCTAGTAATAATATACATATATACTTCAGTTGACACAAAATTTCAACATGTAAATATTAAGAATTTCTTGCCACAATTATGTTTAGAATGCTTACCTATGTTATAAAGTGAATATTAAAATATTAACAATACAATGACTTTTTTCTGATTAGCTATAATTACCTGCAATATTATTTGATCATTGATCATACACAATTTCAGAGAGACCAGAAACTGTATCAAAGTAGATATTCACTGTTTTGGCTTTTTAAAGGTCAAGGCTGAATCAAAGGTAACAGAAAATGTTGAATGAATGTGAGGCTAAAAACTGAATTTGGTGTGACACACAATAGCATTAGGTAGGTAAAGAGATGTAAAAGGGTAGAGAGGCTGTTCTAGTTTCTCTTTTTACTAAAGTTTTATTTTTTTGAAATCAAAGATTTACAC